CCTCGTTGGTTCGTCGGTTTGTGCCGAGCTGAGCTAAAGGACCTATAAGCAATTTTATATGCCTACAATATATATGTTGACCTAATTAAGCTGATAACTATATTTAGTAAGAAGAGTTTGAAAAATGAAAATTATTTTTCTTTTACAGTGTATTTGGGAGATGACTTAAGGAAGGGAAGGAAGAGGTGTTGTGCGTGGCGGAAGCTTTTCTTGTGCAACACAAACAATAACTCGAACTAAACCACAACTAATATGCAAAACACAACCACAGCGAGAACAAACAATTTACGTGGTTCGGCAAGTTGCCTACGTCCACGGGGCAAAGAGGGAGGGAGTTCTTACTATTAGAAATCAGAGAATACAAGTAGAGTTACAAATCTCACCGATCAAACCCTAAAACAAAGCTCTTGATCTCTCACAACTCTCCCACAATTGGATGCAACAATCCTCTCTCAAAGACTGCTCAAATTCGTCCTTATTTCACCCTAACAAATCTGGTTTAGGGATATATATAACTTAGAAAACGAATCGGGTCAAAAAACCGAAGCCCAGCCCAGAAAACATCGGCGGTCGACCGCGGCGGTCGCGGTCGACCGAATCTCAGTCCCGAGAGCAAAAATCGCTTACAGTCATCCGCGGTCGACCGCGGCGGTCGACCGACACCTGCTCCGAATCCTGGTAGGCTTCGTGCACGTTGGCGGTCACCCGCGGCGGTCGACCGCCAGACTTTCTGGCTTCTGTCTGACTGATTTTCTGTTGTTTTCTGTATTTCTTTAATTCTCCACCTCGGCGAATGTTTCCACCAAAACTGAGCCGACACCAAATCATCCAATAGTCCATCAACAAGTTAGGGAACCAATCTAGAGCTGAAACGCGATCCTCCCCCCATCTGAATCAACTGATCAAACCGGTTGCATCTGAAAGACTGCCTACGTATCCTCTTGTCCAAGGAATCAATCCGAACGTAGTTTACCCAAATGGCCTCCAAAGGCCTCAGCACTGAAGGATGTTCAAAAGCTTTAAACAATGACCAAATTTCACTCCTGAAACAACTTTGGTCAACATATCTGCAGGGTTGTCATTTGTGTGGACCTTCTCTAATATGACGTCTCCATCATCCAACACGTCACGTACAAAGTGGAATCTGACGTCGATGTGCTTCGTGCGCGCATGATAAACCTGGTTCTTCGCCAAATAGATAGCCGACATGCTATCACAATATACCCGAATAGTCTCCTGAGCGATCCCCAAGTCCTCCAATAATCCACGCAACCATAAAGCCTCCTTAATAGCTTCAGTTACTGCCATATACTCTACCTCTGTAGTAGAGAGAGCCACTGTGGACTGAAGCGTGCATCGCCAACATACAGGTGCACCTACCAATGTAAAAGCATAACCTGAAGTAGACCGGCGTTTATCAAGATCTCCAGCATAATCTGAATCCACATATCCAATACAATCCTGCCCATTCTTTTCATCCTTGTCTTCATCCTCAACTATAATGTTCACATTGGCCATATCTGAAAGTAGCTTAGTGAAGTTGTTGACATGCTCCCTGATGGAAACTCCCCTCTTCATCTTGAACTGGTAAAATCTTTTCTTCAAGTGAAGCTGATTCTCAATGCTCTTCGTAAGATATTTCTCATTGAGTGTTTCCCACATCTTCTTCGTCGACGTCTCGTTCATAACATCATAAATAAGATCCGGCGTCAAGCATGACCTAATAACACCACAAGCTCTACTGTTCATCTTCCTCCAAACCTTATCCTCCATATCTGCGGGTTTCTCTTTTAACTCAAGAGTCTCCTCCAAATTCTGTGCATCCAAGGCATCCATTACTTGACACCTCCACAATCCGAAATTGATCTTGCCGTCGAACTTCGGAACATCAATCTTTGTGTTATTGATGCTCAGACTCTGTATCGCCTTTGTAAGAGACGAACCTGATGTGCTTGCATCTCCTATGTTGTCGATCTTGCTCTGATACCAATTGTTGTGCGCGGCGGAAGCTTTTCTTTTGCAACACGAACATTTTTTTTTTTGGTCAATGAAAACTTTTATTCCATTACCAATATATGGAAGTTATAATACATCAATGTCTATCTCAAGACTGGTTACAGAAACAGTCTTCAAAAACTAAAAAATTTCTACATAGTTCTTTATGTGCTGAGGTATATTATCATTCAAAATCCTTGTATATACATGTATCTTTATCAAACTAAAGAGATGATCAGGGCCTCTTAGTTGCTGTTGAAAAATACGCAAGTTCCTCTCTTGCCAAATCATGTAGACGCAACACGAACAATAACTCGAACTAAACCACAACTAATATACAAAATACAATCACAGCGAGAACAAACAATTTACGTGGTTCGGTAAGTTGTCTACGTCCACGGGGCAAGGAGAGGGGGAGTTCTTACTATTAGAAATTAGAGAATACAAGTAGAGATACAAATCTCACCGCAAACCCTAAAACAAAGCTCTTGATCTCTCACAACTCTCCCACAATTGGATGCAACAATCCTCTCTCAAAGACTGCTCAAATTCGTCCTTGCTTCACCCTAACAAATCAGGTTTAGGGATATATATAACTTAGAAAACGAATCGGGTCAAAAAACCAAAGCTCAGCCCAGAAAACATCGATAGTCGACCGCGGCGGTCGACCGTGGCGGTCGACCGCGCAGGTCTCGCGGTCGACCGCGGCGGTCGACCCAGTCATCCACGGTCGACCGCGGCGGTCGACCGCCATCAACTCTGAATCCCACTAAGACTTCGTGCACGTTGGCGGTCGACCGCCAGACATTCTGGCTTCTGTCTGGCTGATTCTCTGCTGTTTCCTGTATTTCTTCAAGGGGAAAAAGTTCCACTTCATTCACTTCCCCTTCCTTACACCCTAATTTGGGGTGTAAGATTTTGGCTCAAATTCTCCTCCATTTCCCTCCTCTACCCTCCTAGCTAAATGGAACTCTCAAACAATGTTAAAATTAGATTTTTCTTCCCCTCTCCCTCTCTACCCTCCATCCAAACAGATCATTAGTATGCTAAATATTCAAGATGACAATTAATTTTCATTTAATTATCGTTCAATAACTATCCTTGTAAGCAAATAACAATGCTTTGCAAGTATGAAAAACTCTTACAATAGGATAATGCTTACTCTTGCCATATCACTTTCTAAACTTTCATATCATAGTTGGTTTAGTTTAATAGCGTGCAAGTATGGGAGTAAAAGAATGGTAGTCAATCACTTTCTAATTATCCACACTAGGATCTTGTTAAGCCACTGTTAAGTTTGTTCTTGTACGTCTTCATTTTATTTAATTACTAATTAGTTACGCTAAACTTAATTAACCAACAAATTGTTGCATATTAATTAGATTTAATATAATAAATTGGTCAAAGTAGTTTCACCAGCAAACACAACAAGAGGAAGAAACTTCTCAGAGGCAACGGATGGCTACAAAATCTTTGCTATGGTTATAGTTAACGCGTATTTAATTAACGCATATGACGTGCCAATCGCAACGGCTAATACTAATTAAATGATTTTTATGTTGTCTAATTTGGTCGATAACCATCTTCCTTCTTGTACTTCAAATAGCTATTCACGAATATACTATGCATTTAGAACCTTACTTCTATCTGTTGGAAAGATTCACAGCAAGATAATAATCTCTCTAGATGTGATTACACACCTACAGTCTTAATTTTAATTATTAATGCATAAAGTATGCTAGGAGGTTGTACTTTGTAAACTATTTTCTGTTGGCAAGGGGAAATTGGGAGGTTAGATGAGCAAAGATGAGGTGTACATCGAAGTAGTGATTCCTGGAAACTTAATTATTATTATTCAAACTTGGCCGAGACTAAGGATTGGAAATTGAATGCGTGCATGATGTTTTTAAATTGAAAATGTGGGGTATATATATTTTGTTCAAAGGTGATCTAAAGATTGAGCGAGTATTTAAAAGGACCATCAACCATTGGCTAGAAGAGCAAGGAAATTAAAAGAAAAGTATGCGGACCATGGAAGTAAACCATACACAATGACGTCTCCTACCTTCGTCAACAATGACATGCAAAAGATATAGGAAGGCAATTAATAACCAACAACTTAGAGCTTTGCTACAGAGACCCAAAATATGGGACCAATAAAGGGGACAAGTGAGGTGTCCTCATCCTATTGGATAATGAGTTGGCCATCATTAATGATGGCCAACTCATTATCCAATAGGAAGAGGACACCTCACGTGTCCCCTCTATTGGTCCCATATTTTGGGTCATTGAAGAATTTTTCTTTGTTAAATTTTTATTTGTTAGTTTTGTGCAAGAAACCTCAATCCACACCCTAATCACTGAGGTTAGGGCTTCCGTTAAAAGAAATTAAAGTTGTGATAATTAACTAATTGGTAGTTAATTAGCTAGCTAGCCTTCATTCAAATACATAATAAAATACACAAAAATTGGGTCATAAAATTTCTGGCTGAAAAAATAAAAACCTAAATGATTGATATCTCCATCTATCTATAGGCATATGACCACATGGTAACTTTTATATGCACACTTGAACATGGGAAACCCTAGCTAGGGTTTGTTGAACTGTTGATAATATACAGGTATAGTATATATAATTTTGCTTTCTTGCTGCGTTGATAGTTGAGAAAATTAAATGAAGTGCTCTCTTTTCCTTCTTTATATGTAACTAGAACTTCTGCTTTCATGGTCATGTCTAACCTTTGCTAGAAATTTATTTATTGAGGAAGTAGGGTCACCTACTAGTATTAGAATCTCATCAAACCTATTGAATTATTGTTCACCTCCTTAACTAAGGAGTTAGTTTTTGCCTTATTAATCCTTTGAATTGAGTTTGTTGGCTTAACTTCAAGTGTCCTACATCTAGAAGTAGCTAGTTCCATTACGACTTCAGTCTCTTACTTGTATGTTAATTAACACATATAGCTATAGGTTGTGTAAATTGACATGATAACCCAAAATTACTTTGTCAACATCCAAGTAATCCTTCTCAAAATATATATTGATTAGAATATTACCGTTAGTATTTTAAATATTTGAAGCCTAAACTTCTATCTCATTCTTTCAACAAAGAAAGGTTTGAAGTAGCTATCAACAAGCTCGATCTATATATACACTGCCACTAATTAAATTTGTGTGGTTATCTATCGTAAGGAAACTTAAACAGGAGATTTACATTAAGTTACACTTGAATATTTCAATCAGTGTTTTTTAAAGCTGGCCCATCTTTTCTCAACTACAATTGCTTTTAACATCAACAAGCTCTATATATGAAAACAGCAAGAAAACAAATATGAGACTATATTTTGAATTGCCACGTATTTAAGGCAACATTTTTTTTTACTGCACACTCTACGGCTGTCCCTCTTATGGAAGAGCCAATGTGGGACCATTCTCCATATTGATCTCTGCACATTTTAGGGTTACAATTTCTGTATCATGCTCCATCTTAAACCCTACCCACTTCTAAATGTGTACATTAACAACTACTTCATTTATGAGCTGGTTTCCCTAGGGAGTTAATTAATAGTGCCTCCCCAAATATGAATTTTATTTTCTCCTTTTCTTGTTTTCATTTATGGAACATTTAAAAATATCATTTTGTTCTCCAAATATGGGGTTTGTCTTAAACCTTACCCTTCTAAATGTGTCCACTAACAACCACTTCATTTAATGAGATGGTTCCATAGGAAGTTAATAGTGTCCCTCTAAATATAAGAATGTTAATTGAAAAATAAAACTACATTAAAAAAAAAACTATTTTTCTCCAAATATGTTTTATCTTAACTCCATAACAATTGCCTTGCATGCATCATATGGAGAATGCCTCTCTTGAGTATTTTTATGCCACATATGTTATCAAATCAAGTTTGAGCCATTCAAATTAACATGATATGATATACATATATATTGATGCAAAAGCAAAAGGTAAAGATATTTCAAAGTTGGACCAATGCAAGAATGACAAGTTCTTAACGCCTAATTGGCGGGAACCATAGGGAACCTACCATTATTTTCAAACCAGCTCTGATGAGGATGTTGCATATGATCACATTGTCAATTCAGTGACTAAGATGTCATAACCTCTCTTGTGGTAATTAATTCCTCACCACTAAGTTCCACGGTTAGTCATATCATATATTTCGATAATTTTTGTCACTCTAGAGACATCTTGTGGCTCTATTGGACTAAACATGCAAAAGTCTAAATCATGCTAGAAGTTTATCCGAGGTCATTCCAATAATAAACATACATACATACATAGATCGTAAATGGTAAATGCCTCTGGTACACGGTTTCGTGAACAAATTTTCTTTCACTTTATCTCATGCACAATTCACTCTTACGAATTCTAAGCCTAATTAAAACGAAGGTTTAAATTGTCCGCTAAAGTTTGTGAAGGCCTATAGGCATTAATTCCTTGTCGTATACTTTGCGCAGAAATGTTAAGAATCACTAGCTAACCTTAAATTATTAGGTTGCTGATATAAGGATCAATTACAGTTGAGCCTTCCACTGGTATTTTAGTTTGCTTCCTAGAACAGCAGTTTAAGATGTCATTTTTACAAATTTAATCTGAAAATGACAAATTAGCTACCCCTGGTTTTCAAAACAAAACAGAACAAGTGCTGATCTCTTGTACATCAATCTCAAAGTTGTTACAAGTTGTGGATGGCTAAGGACTAAAGGCAGAAGACAAGGTCACAATCCTTGTTGCCACTTGCATTTGCTTGCATTTTGATGGTAAATTTTAATCATGTAATCTGGAAAATGTAACACTTCAACCTTAAACACATGAACAATATTTGTCAACATACCTTTGCTCATCTCCTGATAAAGAGACACAGAAAGTAACAGCATATGAAATATGCCAAAATATGTCTACATAAGAACGACCGCGTCAAATAGAGAGGCGGCCAAGGATGAAACCGAGAAGGTTCTGTCGAAAAATTCAGGAAAAAGATTACAATATTACTGAAATCGTTCTCTTGAAGCTCATTCTCTTTAACGATAAATGATCAGCTTCTTTCGGAAGGAATGGTTGGTTCCCAAGACATCAATAAGTGCATCATTTGTGCACCTAACATCTTGACTTTGTCTTCTTGTACTATGAACTCAGAAAACAAGGTCCAAACCAACGAAGGCGCAAGTTTTACAAAGAAATCAGGCATTTTGTCATACGGAATGACAACAAAGACATCTCACTTGCATTTCTTGAACAAACAAGTCTTCTCATAAGAACAAATCTTGGCTGGGGAGCTTATCATCTCAAAGATAAATAGAGCATATGGACAAGGGTAACCCTGACTGGTTTCGGACAGGTCAGATTACTAGCCCTCTACATCCATCCTGTGAGACGTACTTTGTCCGCAACATTATACATAACAAGATAATTCCAAGTCGGGCCAAAAAGCCTCTCCCCTCCAATCATAAATGTCAGTGCCCATGAAGTAAGTAGTACCGAGAAAATCGCAAAGCCTAGCGCAGAACGCACCACATCTGCATGGCATAAGATTTATAAATTTGTTAACTTGGGAAAGAAAAACTGAGGTTATACAAGAAAATGTCAAAGGAAATACAATATAAAAAAGCGAGCAAACGGTAACTCAGCCTAACAGGCTAACATCACAGATGAACACCACCCCTCACAACAACTAATATTGTACGAGATTAGGGACAAAAATACCACGTTTTGGACCTTTTTGCTGTGCATAGTGGAAATAAAAGTGCAACTATTCTAAACTTCAAAAGATCAGTTATCTCTTATCCTCAATACCCATGTCTTCATCTCTTAGTGCTACATGTTAGGGTGAGAGTGTAACACTGAGGTAAGATTTTTCAGGCCAAGTTCAGATCCCTTTGATCTTCAACACAACCAGGGTCGGCCCTGATATTCTTAATTTTTCACGGGGCCTTAATCAAGCTTTCAAATGAGGGGCCTCTATATACAATATTTCATACACAAAAAAATTTATAAGATAGCAAAATATTTTTTATTAAAATGAGACAATAAGCACATAATCGTATTAATATTAAAATCAAAAAACTTCTTGATGCTTTATAAATAACACAATTCATACTACATTAAATGGGGTCACCTTGCATTTTGAGCTGCAAAATTATCAATTAAAATGTTCCAATCAAGCTTCTTCAATAAATTTTTTTTGATAGATATCATAGCCAATCCATTCAATCTCTCTTGTGACATTGTTGACCGTAGATAAGATTTGATGAGCTTCAACTTTGAAAAGCTTCTCTCGTCCGATGCAACTGTAACTGGTATTGTCAATAATACTCTATAAGCAATCCAAGCATTTGAAAAACAACAATTTAGCCTTTCCATAAAATTCAATACTTCAATTGCTTTTTTTTGTTCCTCTTGGTAATGCTTCTCTTAAGATTTTGAGTTCTGAAAATAATTCTGTCCCATTAATATCAAAATTTTTGTCATGCTTTAGGAGATCTTCAAGGTTAAGACATGAACACTTCAAACTATCATTATCTGCATACTTCAACATCTCCAAATTAAACAAGAAACCAAAAGATTCAAATCTACTCTTGAGTGAAGAAAGAGCTTGATCAACGATATATATGAAGTAATTGACTCTAAAGGATTCTTCAGCTGTCATTGCCATCTCTTTATTAGCATTTTTGTCAAAATGTTTCTTTCTACGAATGATGCGACGTTCACGAAAAATGGGTTCAACTTTTATTCTAACTGTAATTTCTTTAGCCTCAACCATAGCTGCTTCAAATCAATTTTCTCTGTAGCTTTCAAAAAAAGAAATGAGCCTTCTTAAAAGGTCTATAGCAACATCAATCTGCATATCCTCTGATTGCATGATTTTACTTATTTTGTTAATAGCATTCAAAATATCAAACCAAATAACCATACCAAGTAAGAACTCAAAATTCTCAATTTCATATGTTGCTAAGCACTCAGCATCACTTTTTGTCTTGGGATCTTCACTAGAACTTGCTAAGTAAATCAAAGCATCTCTTATATCTGGAGCTTGGAATCTTATTGCTTTAACACTTTCAACTTGACCTTCCCAACGAGTTTGTGATGGTGGCTTAAGTGTGAAACCTTTAACATTATCTGTAAGAACTTTCGACCGATGAATATATGCGCTGCATCACTCCAAAAAAAGACGAAGCTTGCGAACAAGAGTTTACCATATCACAAAGTGTAAGGTTAAGACTATGACAATCACAAAGTGTGTAGAATGCTCTAGGATTTATCTCTAATAATCTTCTTTGTACACCTTTATGTTTTCCTTTCATATTAGAACCATTATCATACCCTTGTCCTCTTACATCGCCAATATCAAGTTTAAGCTCTTGCAAAATATTTACAAGTTCTTCAAAAAGTCCCCGTCCTGATGTATCATCCACCTTTAAAAATTCTAAAAAGAACTCCATATTTATTAGGCTTGTTGAAATATTCACGCATCTTAATATAAGTGACATTTACTCTTCATAGCTTGCATCCGGATCCGGAGTACAATCAAGAATAACAGAAAAGTACTTTGCTTCTTTAATCTTTTGGATGATTAAACTTTTGATCTCATCTGCTATTCGAAGAATAAATTCATTTTGAATTTTGTGACTAAGATAATGATAATGAATTTCTTTCTCCTGAACTCGACGAACATGCTCTTTCATTATTGGATCAAATTCGGCAATCATTTCTATTATACTTAAAAAATTTCCATTATTTTCTCCATAAAGCTTCTTATTATCTCCACGAAATGCCAAACTATTTTAGCAAGTGTTTTCACAACAGCAACTACTCTCAATAGTACTTTTCTCCAATGTTCTCGTTCTTTATTGATTTGTTCTTCAACACTTTTATCGATTGTCACATTTTGTCGTAATCTGATCTCTAATTCAATCCAACTCTTCATGTTAACAATGTGTTCACTACTTGTTTCATGACTTTTAAGTCTAGCACTGAGATTTCTCCAGTCTCTAACTCCATCATTTGCCAATTGAATTTTGTTTGCATCATATTTGAACAACTTACAACAAAAACAAAAAACATTGTCCAAAGAATTTGAATAGATTAGCCATTTTCTATCATGATGTTCACCATTGGATAAGTTACGAATATAATGTGTTGAGGAGAAATGTCTGCCTTCTGAATCTTTCGAAAAATCAAGATTATCATTTTTTTTGGACCTCTTTCAACTAGTAAGTCTCTCAATCTTTGATCAATATTTTTTCAATTTCCTGGGTCATTTATGTTTGAAAGCCTTCTTTCAAGGTTTTCTTCTTGTACCAAATCTTCATGTTCATTTACATTTCCTTCATGTTCATTTACATTGCTAGGTTCTTCACATTCTTCAATGGAATTTCTATTCTTATTCAAATTTTCATTAACCAAATCCTCGCTTTCTTGATTTTCAGGTTGCTCATTTTCAACATTCACTGAATCTTAAACTAAATTAGATCTACTACCAGTAATAAATTTTTCAAGTGCTCCCGCTTGAGATCGATTGAATTCTTCACTTTTTTGTTTCTTTATCCGCTTATCATGTCCAGACATATACTTTCGAGGAGGCATGATATCCAAATTTAATTCTGAATCTGCTACAATCTAATAAATATCGAGAAAAATAAATTAATCAAGAATTCCTACCAAAAAGCATGTTAGGGACTAAAATATATCAAATATTTAAATTGAAATTTGAAATTAAACAATAAAATCTGTATAGGTAAAAGATCTTACAATTTCTTCCAAGTTGAACTTTGAAGATGTTTTTTTCTTGACAATCCGCCAAATCCCGTTTGATTCTGCCCTAATTCATAAAACCCTAATCAATTTCAATTTTATTTTCATAAAGCCCTAATTCCTAAACCCTAATTCCACAAAGCCCTAATTCCTAAACCCTAGTGAGAACTGAGAAATTACAGAGAAAGTGAGAAACCCTGACGGGCGAGAGGGAGGAGGACAAGCCGACGAGCGATTGGAAGAAGAGAGGTCAAAGAGAGAGAGACCTAGGGTTTTCTCTTTTTTTTGTGAGAGCGATCAGCAGCAACTAAGATAGGGACGGGAGGAGAGGTATGGCTGTAGGAATCCATTATGCTATTAGAACCCTCTAACAATTTTGTACAAAAGTCCTCTTACTTTTCCATATATATCTATCTAAAATATATCAAATATTACATTGGGGGCCCTTGTTTTTTGGGGGCCCTAGGCGAAGGCCTATCCCGCCTATGCCCAGGGCCAGCCCTGAACACAACAGCCCCAGTTGTTACCTATGAAGCTTGGATTCCTAGACGGTTAAACCTAACACCATTTTTGAATAAATGGATCGTGTGCAAGCTATAATTGGACTCATTCTGTATTTATAGATAAAGTACTCAGAGTACTACGTAAAAATCAAATTTATCATTTCGCTAAATTCATACTTATATCTCATTCATTTAACAATCTAGAGAGAGGACATTGTTCACCACCGGTGTATAAAATCCATATCAGTTTCATTTATATGGCAACCTATCAATATATTTGTGTCTATCTATAATTAGGGTTAAAGATAAGCATACAACGACATACACCATAACAGGCTAAGCACCCTAAACCAATGTTTTAAAAAATCTCCGCATAGCCCGCCTAGGTGTACGCCTAGGACTAGGCAGTACATAGACCGTCCACATGGCGCCTCCTACCTAAGCAGTGCCTAGGCTGCCCACCTAATGTGGGAGAGCCTAAAGAGCGTGGTCTGCTTACGTGGACTGCAACCATTAGGATTTAATCGTGATTTACTTCGTTACAGTCTTCACGTCCTCTAACCTCCTCCAAACCCATCTACCCTTCAACTGTGAATACCTCCTCTGACATTCAGTAAAAACTCCACCGCCACTTAAACGAAGGATGAAATCTGCCTAAACTTTCCATAACATTGACATATATTATTAATTATTATAATAAAAAAAGGAAAATCATCTAAGTCCTACCTAAATGTCTAGGCTCTGTATGTTGGGTGCAACGTTTAGGCCACCTAACGCTTTCTATAACCTTACCCTAAACCAAAATCTGGTCCAGTAGGACTGAATCTGATTTGCAAGAGGTCAGCCCATATACTAGCTCTACTCAACCGCTACATCTCCCAAGATTATATACACAGGGTGGCAACATAGGCACACCCTCAGCTACACCTTGGGGCACACCCCCTCTCTCAGCTACAGTGCACGGGGCCCACTTTAGATTTTTAAAAAATCTAAAGTGAGTCACGTGCACTGTAGCTGAGAGAGGGGGTGTGCCCTAAGGTATGGTTAGGGGTGTGTCTGTAGTATTTTCCTATATACACATGCATGCAAGCGTGCAAAATTCCAAAGAATATATTACATGAAATTTCCCATTAAAAAAAGGATTATTATCTCACAGTAAAGATAAATGAATTATGTCTAATGTCAGTCCATCCACATAGTTGATGGAATATAGAAAACCTTTTAACTTATAATTGATTTTTATACAAACAGATCAGCTTTATATATAAGAATGTTAGGCAATTAATGAGATCAACTATTGCATTAGCTATGTACACCACCATCTACACATGGTGCTCCCTCTTGATTTTCAACCACCACCCTTTCTTACAATCTTATACGGATGGATAAATATTTTAGCATCCAATTACTATCCAGCTCCACTAGATCGTATGGCACTTTTATCCCTACTTACTTTCCACCTCCACCAAATAATACCACATATATACTGTCTTTTTGCTATGATTTAAATGCTGACAGTCATGTCGGACATGGCGGCCAACATGGCGGGTTCAAACCCAAACAACCACAATATGCCACATTCGAATGTTTTGGGACTAATATCAGGGACTGTCGGATTAAAACGGGTATATCGCACGCAATCTCAGGTCTGAAATTGTACTTAATAAGAGCATTTTCTTTTCTATAGCATAATTGTGTTATCGAGTTTTTAATTGGCTACAAAATCCAACCTGACCTAATACTCCAAATATTAATAAAAATCCAATCTCTTCTGATTAGGGTTTTTTCCCCATTCTCCAGCTCTTCGTCTCCTCTTCGACTCTCATTGCCGCATCTCTCTCTGGAAACTAGGACTTTCAATGTTCAACAGAGGGCTTCGAAGGTGCACAACTGCACAAAGTACTTGCTCGTTCTCATCTCTCTCTGTGGCCCACTCACCCTGTCAGTCTTTCTCAGTCTCTGCCTCTCTCCGTCTCAGCCTCTCTCCCTCTCTATAAGTTAGATATTTGAGTAAAATGTCATATATTTTACTTTAGATAAATGTTAATATTAATTAGATATTTGACTTGAAGATGTAAGATATTTGAGTTAGAATGTTGATTTGTTTATACTGTTAAATTGATACAGTAATAGACTAACAATTAGATTAGATATACCTTAATTGATCTTTAGAATGTTTAGGCTATAGAATTTATTAAGTATGCTTAGGTTGCATTTATAATATTATATTATATACACAAGGTTACAGTAAGCACTAGATGGCCTAGGCGTTGGACCCGATGCCAAGCTCCTAGGTGGGTCCTAGACCATTTTTCTATTTTTTTACTTTATAATTATAATCATGAATAGTAAATGCATTTGCCATAAAAAACTTAGGCGCCAGACTAATGTCTAGGCAGATCTCTTTTTTTGTTTAAGTAGGCTAGATCCTACCTAGACGCTAGGCGCTAGGTAGACATCCTAAGTACCACATAGGCCTAGGCGTATGCCTAGGCGAACTATATGGAGGTTTTTTAAAACATTATATATGTACACCATCTGATATCCGATATATACTACATATCTCCTGATATATCCTCGATTTTCACAATCTGACATGGATTTTAGCCGTCCGACACGAACTCGACATCCAAATTTTAAAACCTTGCCTTTTTGTACTCAACCTCCATGAGTTCAATTAGTTCCTACATTCCGAGCAACTTCCTTGCATAACATTAACAGAACTGCACATGGCAGCAAGACGCCTCCAAATATGTCTCCTCAAACTTGATATCTCATCCTTCCTCATGATGCTGAAGTTTTTGTATGATTATACTCTATGTTGTACGAATGTTTCAAAGAAGGTTATATTTGGACGGTCTGATACTTGATGATATGGGTGACTGCTGATGTTTGATGCATGCTAAATTTGTAACTGCGTCAAAGATATTAGAGATGTATAATGTATTTAGGATTAAGTAGTAATAATAGTTTCACAATATTGTTTGATCTATACAAGACAATGTGTTCATAAACAATATATGGTGTTTCAGCACATAACGTTGACTGTTCAGATGAGTATCGATTTTTATATGGTTTGAAAATGTTTCACAATATCTAAATTATGATCTTCTAACAGTTACACTAGTAGTATTTATAGTTCTAGCTTTATGTATTCATGCTATAAATATTGAACATTAATGGGGACATGCACAGAGGATGCACACAGATTTTTACTACGTACTGTAGTATTTTTCACGTCCACGTGTCTCTATTTTGTCATATCCATATCCAGTCGCATACTAATACCAAATAAAACACTAATAGCTACCATAAATATTTATTTTGAACTACTGATTTGGTAATATAACCAAGAGATAATAGGTCCCAGAAGGAAAACATTATATTTGACGTTCGAGAAATCCTTCTCTCCTTCTCTTTGTTCAGTATAGCTTTAGCTATACACTATTAGCCTCAGTTCTACAAGTTCAAGGTAACTCACGATTTGCATATCATACCCAATAAAATCTGCCACTGACACAGATTCTCAATGTAGAGATTCTTCTTTCTTAGTTTATGTCCTAAAGGCACACTTCGAACAACAAACATCGAAGAGGAGCTACCTAGACTCATGCATGATTGCATTGCCCAAATTTAGCAACCTTTTTGACTCATTTCTCTGCGGAATCTATTTGAATCCCTCCTTTCCCAATTGATAAAATAAGAGAGAGAGTCTTGAGTAAATTTTTCTTAAGTTGAATATTAAATGTGCACATATATTTATACAAGTAGAGAAGGGTGAGGTATGTTCTCACAACCAATGTGGGACTAAAAACCACTACTAACACTATTATCAACAACCCCCCTCAAACTAATGTTGGATTAAACAAAGTGAGTTTGCGTACAAGAAACTTGAACCGATGAACAAGTAAGGTCTTTGTGAAGAAATCTGCAAGCTCGTCGGCGGATGACACATAAGGAAGTAAAATTGTTTTATTCTTGATAACTTATTGACGGACTAAATGAGCATCGATCTCAATGTGTTTGGTCCTCTCATGAAATACTAGATTATTAGCAATCTGGATGGCACTCTTATTATCATAATATAGAGGAGTTGGAGTCAAAACAGAAATACTGAAATCACTGAGAAGACGACGAAGATGAATAATCTCTTTAGCTATTGTGGACATTGCACAATACTCTGCATCGGTGCTGAAAAGAGCAAAAACATCTTATTTCTTACTCCGTCGAGAAATTAGGGAATCACCAAGAAATATACAATAACCTGTGATAGACTTCCTGATAGTGGGATCACCAGTCCAATCAGCATCAGAATATGCACAAACCTCTAACTTGGATGTAGCAGGAAACAGAAGAGAGCGAGTGCTAATACCCCGAAGATACCGAATAATCCATAATAAGGCAGCATAGTGTACAAAACGTGGGGCACTAACAAATTGACTAACAATGTTAAAGTAAGAGAGAGAGTCTTGGATAAATTTTTCTTAAGTTGAATATTGAGTGTGTACATATATTTATACAAGTAGAGGAGGGTGGGGTGTGTTCTCACAACCAATGTGAAACTAAAAACTCACTACTAACACTATTATCAACATCAATCAATCAAAAAAAAGCCATATTCTCGTTTTTCTATCAAAACCCCGAATTAAGTCCAAAATCGGGTGAAACGAATTACATCTACCCTAACTTAAGCATTACCCACACAACCATAACAAGCTAAAAATCTCTCCTTTTCATCAGAATCAACTTTAACCGAGCAGAAAATCTAACAAAAGTGAAGAAAGAAGAGTTTTTTACAGACATTATGAGGTAATTTATGCTTGTACTATGCCAAATTATAGCACAGAGAAACTTTCTCAACCCCCCCCCCCCACCACACACCACACACACACACCCAAACATAACCACACCCCACACACAAAACATAACAACCGATAAATCATTAAAAAAATGAAGAAAGGGCTTACAATGCCGAATCCGATGGAAGTAGGAAGCTATCGTGGGCTCTTTGCATCGAAGAACGGGCCAGAAATAGTAACAGTTGACGGCCCACAGAAAGGGGAGAAGCGCGAAGCACCATCGAAAGAATCGGCGAGCGCAGGGTACCGACTCCTCGCCTCTCCTCGCCTTAGAGACCTAAAGGGCCGTCCACCGTTGGCCACGTGTCCGGTGCGGCAGCAGATTGGGCTGATCCGGCGAGGTTTTGGCGTTCCTCGTCCTCCTGCTCGTCTCCTCGCCGATCGATTCGTCGCTTCTCTTGTTTGTTCGAGGTTCACTGCCTGTTTGCAGGAGCAGTGGGTTTTTTAGCGTTAGTCCCTCACATCTTTGAAATTGCTCACAAGTCCCTCAAATCCAAGGGGTGCTGTGGTTTGGTCCCTCATTGACCAAAATTCCCAATGTTTTCCAAACAACATGATGCCGCATAAAAGATTACTAATTGAGATAATGTAAGATGAGTTTTGCTACAAAGACCCAAAATATGGGACCAACAAGGGTAACAGGTGAGGTGTCACCCTCCTATTGCATAATGAGCTGGTCATCATTAATGATGACCAGCTCATTATGCAATAGGAGCGGGACACATCACTTGTCCCCCCTGTTGGTCTCATATTTTGGGTCCTTGAAATTTTTTTCATGTAAGATATCCAAAAATAGTATCTTTTTTAAAATAAAACGTTGGATAAAACGAATCATAAGGGAAGATTTTAAGTTGGTAGAAATGATCAAGCCGTACTTCCCCTTGATCCCTATCTATCTAGAGGGTATTTTTTTCACCAAAATTTTTATCATTTGGTAAGGATTACAAGTTTTGGGATTAAAAGTGAGTTTTTTTGTATTTTAGGATTCCATATATGGTGTTTGTTTTAAGAAAATTTTTAGAATATTGAATCCCAAAAGTGCAAAAAGTGCTTAGTTTTTAGAATTTGTCAAATCCTCTCAATTGGAGAGGATTTTGACAAATCTTATAAATGGGTGTGTTTACCTCTTAATTGGAGAGGATTTGATAAATATTAATTTTGTCTTTTTATGGGAGATAAGCTCACCAAGATAGCATATTTATCATATCATAAATTTTTGGCATTTGGTAATGCTACAATTTAAGCTTGAAACGAATAAAATATTACAAATTATAGTATTCTAAATCTCAAAATATCTCAAAATATTAATAAAACAAACAACATTTTAGAAATCTCAACCCATAACAAAACATCTATGGATTTCAAATCTCATGGTAAAATCCATATCCTAAAATTATAGGATTTGAAACAAACACCCCCCTAGAGTATGCTCCTATTCCTTGATTAAAGAAAGTCTATAAAAAACAAAATGCAAAAATAGATTGAGAAAAGTGAAGAAATAAAAATAAAAGATCTTTATTTATTATTTTCCCCATCCGTATCTATATCTATACATATAGAGTAGAATTAGTAACATGGTTTTTGAATTAATGCCCCATTTCTTTCTTTTTCTTCCTAGAAACTCTTGTCCGAAAAAAACACCAGTTGATAGTATTCTAGTGAATTGAGGGACCACATAGCACGGCCTTAGAATTTGGGCGACTAATCCCTCAATAACCCAATTTCAGTTTGTGGGGTTTGTGAGAATTTCTGTTAAAATTTGCAAATTAAAATTGGCAAGTTCAGACAAAAACTCAGCAAGAAATAGTGTAAACGACAAATACCAATTTATAATAATAATAATAATAATAATAATAATAATAATAATAATTTACTACATCCGTAGGTCTACTCTATCTCAAAATAACATTGACTAAGGTAAATAAAATAAAATAAGCCGGATGGAAAAAAAAAGTAATTAAAAAAAAAGCACACTATTCACAAAGCAATTGTGTCGCAATTGTCTTGCCCATAAAAGATGCCGACAGAATTATCTTCACTGAAGCCATTTTCCTTCATTTTCAAGAACGATATATAAAGCCGTTATCAAGCTATCATATTCTCTTGTTAAAACCATCACACCACATTTAATGTCAAGAACTCTTCCTAAGATAAATTGCTGAAGTCGACATAGGAACCGACGTTTTTTTTTTTTTTACTTTTCCGGAAGCGATAAAAACGATGGTCTTTCTGTCATTTTTTTTTTGTAATGGGGAGGATTCAAATCCAACCTTAACGTAAAATTAATAGAAAAAAAACCGGTGGGCAGTAAATTCATGTTTATTTTAAGGGGCTGTTTGGTTCGTTTTTAAACAGTGTGGAAAAGTTTTACAAACTCTCCACGTCAGTTTTTAAGTGGCCACGTAAGTTTTTTTTTTTCCGTCGGTTTCTTTTCCCCACTTTGGTTCGCTAGGGTTTGATAAGGGAAATCGGGGTAATATCGCCGCCACATCACCTTCTTTTCCCTCCCCCATTTCCTGCCCCTTCCTCGTGAAATCGACGACAATCTCAGCCACGTCGGCTTTTTGCTTTCCTCGTTGATTTCTTCGGCGAGCTATACTTACCTCCTTTCTCTCCTCCCGCCAGAAAGTCCCGCGACCTTCGTTGTCCCTGTATTCGAAGAAATTCGTGGGAGGGGCTCTGATCTTTGCCGACAATAATCAGATCTGATCTTTGCCGACGCTGTTGCTTCATAAATCAAGGTAAAAATTGATTTTTTTTTAATTTTTCTTATTATTAGTTTAATTTACCGCAATTATCTGATAATTTGTAGGAGGGGGGGTCTGATCTACGCAATTTTTCTCATTTTCGAAGAATTTTTTGTGATTTTCCTAATTTTTTGGGATTTAGAAGTAATTTAAATTGGATGGTTAAATTTTTACGGGTCACGTGGAATTGAAAGCCGAATTTCAAGCTTCATTTTTAAATCAAAAATGCACTGCTACAAGTTTAACCTAATTTTAATTTGTTTTTGTAAAAAAGGTGATATTAGGAGTATCTTAGTCTAATATCATTTTACTAAGTTTCATGTTAATGTAGTTTTTTTGTGGAGTAATGCCGTAGAACTGTTATCTCACTCATTTGCATTCCTATTGAACTCTAGGAGACTTCGTCCATGGAACTCGTCGTCTAATTTGTGCAAACTATTTTATGGATATCTAAGAATCAAAACCAGGAAGTCAAAGAAAATTGCTTTTGTGCAAACTATTTGTAGTTTTTTTTGTGGCTTCTTATTTTGAGAAAAAATAGTTTCATGTTAATGTAGTTTTTTTCAATTTAGGAGCTAAAAGTGCATGTCTTTGATATTTTTAAATGCTACATATTTCAGATAAGCAGTAATCTATGTGGGTCATTTGTAATTTATAATTTGTTCAGATTTTCTAAGAATTCAACTTCGTTTCTAACTGGGTAATAATTTTTTGCATCGTAGATGGATAATGATGGTGATTATTCTGATGAACAAAGTGTTGTTAATATGGTTCAAGGTGCTGCCCTATCCGTTTTAATTATAATAATTACTGTTATAAGGAGAATGCAAGCAAGACGTAAATCGGTTCGTAGTGGTCCAAGTAAGGAAAAAAAAAGACAAGAGAGAGCTAGAATTGAGCACATAGAGCGAATTTATAATGGTTTTAGTGATAGTTGCGTGAATTATATTAGAATGCGGAGTGGTGCTTTTGTTAAACTAGCGAGTATAATGAGGAACAATAGTCTGCTAAAAGACTCAAGGAATGTAACAGTGAAGAACAACTTATCATGGCACTGAAAACCATTCTGGGACATAAATCTAAAGAATGCGGATTGTTCAGATCTCATTTTATAACGATCAGGGGAGACAGTTAGTATGATACTCAAAAAGTATTACAAGCAGATATTTGCCTGCTTGGACGCGTACATGAGAACAAGCCGCCCAATGACATTCCCCCAAGAGATCGTTAACAACCCGCTATACTACCCTTATTTCAAAGTATTCACACTTTAAGACACATTTAAGTGTATAATCCAATGGAAGAAATTGTAATTTTAGGGTGTGATAGCATGTATTATAGGATTGCATTGGAATGATGATGGGACTCATGTTGATTGCAATGCTTCCGATTAATCTTGTTGCACGCTTTCGAGGCCGCAAAGGTGTTACACAAAATGTGCTTGCAGCTTGCACCCCAAACAAGCTATTCACATATATTCTAGCAGGTTGGGAGGGGTCTGCAAATGATTATAGGATTCTTCAGGATGCATTGTCTAGACCACAACCACATGGATTGAGAGTCTATGATGGTAATTAAATAAAGACTTAACTTAAAATTTATGAATGTTTAATATTCAAACTTGACTTAACAATTATCTTAATGAAATTGTAGGCCAATACTATATGTGTGATGCTGGGTACCCAACCATGCCAGGTTTCATCTCTCCATACCGAGGTGTTCGATATCATTTGAAAGAACATTCGGGTAAAACACCTAAGAATAGAAGGGAATTATTCAATCTAAGACATTCTTCATTGAGGTCTAAGATTGAATCTGCGTTTGGCACATTGAAGAATCGTTTTAAGATTTTGTGTGCTAAGCCGCATTATCCATTTCCTACACAAGTAGATATCGTATTGGCATGCACGGTACTCCATAATTTCATT